GGCCCCACTTACACACTCCGGTTGCTCCAGCTGCAGCATTTGTTGCTGCTGCTGCTGCTGCTGCTGCTGCTGCTGCTGAGCAACAGCAGCAGCAGCAGCAGAAAGCAGCTGGTGAAGTGCATGGGCTAAGATGCGACCCCACAGCACTTCAGGCTGAGGGCAGTGAACAAACGTAGCGTCCACCACCGCTTGAGCAGCAGCAAACCTGCAGCAGCAGCAGCAGCAGCAGCAGCAGCAGCAGCAAACGTGCAGCCACAGCAGCAGCACAGCAGCAGCAGCAGCAGCAAACGTGCAGCAACAGCAGCAGCAGCAACAACAGCAGCAGCAAACGATCAGCAGCAGAAGCAGTGAAGTTGAGAACAAGTCGATCCAGCAGCACGATTGCAGCACCCTTAACAGCCTCAGCAGCAGTTGCTGCAGTAGCAGCAACAACGCTGCAGCAGCAGCAGCAGTATAAGCAGGAACAGCAGCATGCGCGAGAGCAGCAGCGACAGCAGCAGCAGCAGCAGCAGCTCACCAGTTGGTATCGCATGTTCCTAAGTGCTGCAGCAGCAGCTTGAGGGCCTGCATAGCAGCAGCAGCAGTACGGCTATCTGCAGCAGCAGCAGCAAGAAGTGCGCAGATGTCTCCAAAGAGCATCAGAGTAGTAGTACGTCCTTTGCTGCTGCTTCCTGCTGCTGCTGCTGCTGCTGCTGCTGCGGATTGATGGCGAAGAGCCCCTTGAAGCGCCTTCAGCTGCGTGTCTGTGAGGCGGTGCAGCAGCATTTGCTGCTGCTGCTGCTGCAGCAGCAGCAAAGGCTTCAGGGTTTGTTCTGCTTCTAACGCGCGTCGAGAAGACTGCAGCAGCAAACGCAGCAAACAGATACCAACGCGAGCAACGCCACCGCGCCCCTGCACAAAGTCTGAGCAGCAGCAGCAGCAGCAGCAGCAGCAGCAGCAGCAGCAGATAATGAAGCAGCAACCTTAACGGCAGAAGCAGATAATCGCTGGGTTGTAGGGCGATACGAAAAAAAGAGTGAATGCGTTTTTTAAGTCCACTAGGGTTTAGGGTTTAGGGTTTAGGGTTTGGGGTGCATATTGGGTTGTAAGGCAACAACGAAGAGGGTTTACATAAAGGAAGTAAGTTCATTAGGGTTTAGGGTTTAGGGTTTGGGGTGTACACTGGGTTGTAGGATGATAACGAAAGGGGTTGATTGAGAGGAAGTAAGTTCATTAGGGTTTAGGGTTTAGGGTTTAGGGTTTAGGGTGTATACTGGGTTGTAGGGCGATGACGAAGAGGGCTTGAATAAGTTTTTTGATGGGTGCAGCAGATAAACTTTTGTTTTTAGCGAGTAATAAATGAGCGAGACGTTCTAAAGAAGCAATATCACAGAGGGCTCCGCAGCAGATTAGCTGCATTAGACGAATAGCAGCAAGACGGTAGCAAGACCCTGTTGCTGCTGTCTGCAGCAGCTCTTCTAGCTGCTGCTGCAGTACTTGCTGCTGCTGCTGCTCCTCCTCCTCTTCTTGTTGCTGCTGCTGTTGCTGCTGCTGCTGCTGATCCTTGTTGCTGCTCTCCGCGCCTCCATCCGCGTCGGTAATCTGCTGCTGCTGCTGCTTCTTCTTGCGAGAGGCTTGCTGCTGCTGCTGCTGCTGCTGCTGCTGCTGTAGCAGCGGATGTTTCTTTCTGAGCTCTGCAGCAAATTGTCGCTGCTGCAGCAGGAGTTGCTGCTGCAGCATTAGGGTTTTGGGGTGTATGTAGAGCCTAGCAAGCTGTTCAGCAGCAAACTCTGCTGCTGCTGCTATCCTTGAGTAGCACACCCTCAGAGCGAGCCGCAGCAGCAGCAGCAGCTTCTTCTGCTGCAGCTGCAGCAGGCAGCAGCAATCTACAAGAAATCTTACTGCTGCTCTTTGGTCTGTATCAAGAGCAGAGGACAGCAACTCCCCGCAGCTGCGAGAAGACAAACAAATATAATTAACTAAAAATAAAATAGATATTAAAATTATAATAAATAAATATAAATATACACCGTAAATATAATATAATATAATATAATACTTTAAAAGTATAAGGAGACAGATAAACAACAAATGAGACAAAAGATAAACAGATATGAAAATAAAAGAAGAAGAGTGAGAGAGAGAGAAGATAAAGATAAATATAACAAACCCTAAACCCTAAACCCTAAACCCTAAACCCTAAACCCTAAATATAAATAAAAGGATAAAGATAAAGACAAAGATGAAAATAAATATAAATATAAATATAAATATAAATATAAATATAGAGATAAAGATAAAAATAAAGATAAAGACGGACGGAGACCCCTAAATAATAATAATAAAGAAAATATAAATACAAACAAAGACAAACAAAGTCTGAAAAAGAGACAGCCGCTGCATGCAAACAAATAAAAAATAAATTAATTAATTTAATAAACAAAATAAACAAAAACATAAAACAAATAAATAAATTAAATAAACAAAAGGAGACAGATAAACAAACAAATAAACTAAATAAACAAATGCAGACAGATAAAAAGATAAATTAAATAAACAAAAGGAGACAGATAAACAAATAAATAAATTAAATAAACAAAAGGAGACAGATAAACAAATAAATAAATTAAATAAAAGGAGACAGAAGACGCACACAGAGAGAGCAGTATCCAGAGCATCTTCAACATTCACTACCAACTGCAGCAGGGGGTCAATCTCAGCAGCAGCAGCAGCAGCAGCAGGTGAAGCAGTTGCTGCTGTCGTTGTTGCTGCTGATGCTGATGCGGGAACGAGTGTGTTTGCGGCGGCGTTTTCGTCGCCTGCTGCTGCTGCAGCAGTAGCAGCAGCAGCACCTGCAGCAGCATCTTTTGCTGCTGTTTGAGCTTCTGCTGCTGCAGCAACTTGCTGCTGTTGCTGCTGCAGCAGCTTCTGCTGCTGCTGCAGCAGCTGCTGCTGATACAGTGCCCTGAATTCACCATGTTGATCTGCTATCAGCAGCACGAAAGGCTGCTGCATGAGTTGGTGCTGCTGGAGCTGCTGCTGCTGCTGCACCGCTTGCTGCAGCGCAGCAAGGATTAGCTGCAGCGCAGCAGCGCGAACGAGGGAGCTTTTGTCTCTTGTTCGTTCTGCTGCAGCAGCAACAACAGCAGCAACTGCAGCAGGAGACAATGCATCTCTTTCTATTAATTCGCTAAGCACTTTCAATCCCCAGCTCCTAGCTAAGGGCATCTTGTCTTGCAGCCGCAGCAGCAGCAGCTGCAGCAAGTGCTGCCGCTGCATGCCCCAGAACCGAGCTTCCTGCAGCCGTCGCTGCTGCTGCTGCTGCTGCTGCTGTTGCTGCTGCTCCTGCTTCTGTCGCTGCTTCCTCCCTCTAGCAGCAGCAGCAGCAGCAGCAGCAGCAGACATGCATGCACCCTCCTCATCAGTGTCTCCTTTATCTAAGGCGTTCCATGTGTCTCCTCCTACAGGAATATCTGAGAGTTTGCTGCTGCTGTCTTCATCTGCTGCTGCTGCTGCTGCTGTGTCGTGCTGCTGCAGCAGCAGATCTCCCTGCTGATGAGAAGCGCTGCAGCAGCGACCTGCATGCAGCAGCAGCAACTTAAGAGACTCGAGTAGGGCCTTACGAATATGGTAGGGCTCAGCAGCAAACAGCAGCAGCAGCTGCTGCTGCTGCTGCAGCCAAGCTCGAGGAAGGTGCTGTGCTGCTAGCTGCAGGTTTGTTGCTGCATCTGCTAGCTGCTGCCGCTGCTGCTGCAGGCTGCTGCAGCCTGAAGATAAAACTAGCTGCTGCTTCAGCTCGACAGATAACTGCAGCAGCAGCAAAGCAGCAAACACCTCTGCTGCTGGTTGCTGCAGCACAGACGCAAAATAAATAAATAAATAAATATTAATATATATATATATATTAATATATATATTAATTAATTAATAGTATATTGAAGATGTATAAAATGACTAATTAAATTAATACAAAGATTATATAAACAAATATATACACACACACATATATATATATATATACATGTTTATATATATATATATATACATATATAAATGCATATATGTATAAATAAACAAATATATATATGTAAACAAATATATATATATATACAAATATATATATATATATATAAACAAATGTATATATATATACACATATACATAAACAAATATATGTATATACACATATATAAACAAATATATATATATATATGTATATATATATAGAATATATATATATAAATAAACAAATATATATATATATATATATATATATATAT